TTATTGTGACGGTTAGTTTTGGTTAGTTTTTGTTATTGTGACGGTGAGTTTTTGTTATTGTGACGGTGAGTTTTTGTTATTGTGACGGTGAGTTTTTGTTTTGTTATTGTGACAGAGAGTTTTTGTTATTGTGACGGTGAGTTTTTGTTTTGTTATTGTGACGGTGAGTTTTTGTTATTGTGACGGTGAGTTTTTGTTTTGTTATTGTGACATTGAGTTTTTGTTTTGTTATTGTGACGGTGAGTTTTTGTTTTGTTATTGTGACGGTGAGTTTTTGTTTTGTTATTGTGACGGTGAGTTTTTGTTATTGTGACGGTTAGTTTTTGTTATTGTGACGGTGAGTTTTTGTTATTGTGACGGTGAGTTTTTGTTATTGTGACGGTGAGTTTTTGTTATTGTGACGGTGAGTTTTTGTTTTGTTATTGTGACGGTGAGTTTTTGTTATTGTGACGGTTAGTTTTGGTTAGTTTTTGTTATTGTGACGGTGAGTTTTTGTTATTGTGACGGTGAGTTTTTGTTATTGTGACGGTGAGTTTTTGTTTTGTTATTGTGACAGTGAGTTTTTGTTATTGTGACGGTGAGTTTTTGTTTTGTTATTGTGACGGTGAGTTTTTGTTATTGTGACGGTGAGTTTTTGTTTTGTTATTGTGACATTGAGTTTTTGTTTTGTTATTGTGACAGTGAGTTTTTGTTATTGTGACGGTGAGTTTTTGTTATTGTGACGGTGAGTTTTTGTTATTGTGACAGTGAGTTTTTGTTATGTTATTGTGACAGTGAGTTTTTGTTATTGTGACGGTGAGTTTTTGTTTTGTTATTGTGACAGTGAGTTTTTGTTTTGTTATTGTGACAGTGAGTTTTTGTTTTGTTATTGTGACGGTGAGTTTTTGTTTTGTTATTGTGACGGTGAGTTTTTGTTTTGTTATTGTGACGGTTAGTTTTGGTTAGTTTTTGTTATTGTGACGGTGAGTTTTTGTTATTGTGACGGTGAGTTTTTGTTATTGTGACGGTGAGTTTTTGTTATTGTGACGGTGAGTTTTTGTTTTGTTATTGTGACAGTGAGTTTTTGTTATTGTGACGGTGAGTTTTTGTTTTGTTATTGTGACGGTGAGTTTTTGTTATTGTGACGGTGAGTTTTTGTTTTGTTATTGTGACATTGAGTTTTTGTTTTGTTATTGTGACAGTGAGTTTTTGTTATTGTGACGGTGAGTTTTTGTTATTGTGACGGTGAGTTTTTGTTATTGTGACGGTGAGTTTTTGTTTTGTTATTGTGACAGTGAGTTTTTGTTTTGTTATTGTGACAGTGAGTTTTTGTTTTGTTATTGTGACGGTGAGTTTTTGTTTTGTTATTGTGACGGTGAGTTTTTGTTTTGTTATTGTGACGGTGAGTTTTTGTTATTGTGACGGTTAGTTTTTGTTATTGTGACGGTGAGTTTTTGTTATTGTGACGGTGAGTTTTTGTTATTGTGACGGTGAGTTTTTGTTATTGTGACGGTGAGTTTTTGTTATTGTGACGGTTAGTTTTGGTTAGTTTTTGTTATTGTGACGGTGAGTTTTTGTTATTGTGACGGTGAGTTTTTGTTATTGTGACGGTGAGTTTTTGTTTTGTTATTGTGACAGTGAGTTTTTGTTATTGTGACGGTGAGTTTTTGTTTTGTTATTGTGACGGTGAGTTTTTGTTATTGTGACGGTGAGTTTTTGTTTTGTTATTGTGACATTGAGTTTTTGTTTTGTTATTGTGACAGTGAGTTTTGTTTTGTTATTGTGACGGTGAGTTTTTGTTTTGTTATTGTGACGGTGAGTTTTTGTTTTGTTATTGTGACGGTGAGTTTTTGTTATTGTGACGGTTAGTTTTTGTTATTGTGACGGTGAGTTTTTGTTATTGTGACGGTGAGTTTTTGTTATTGTGACGGTGAGTTTTTGTTATTGTGACGGTGAGTTTTTGTTATTGTGACGGTTAGTTTTGGTTAGTTTTTGTTATTGTGACGGTTAGTTTTGGTTAGTTTTTGTTATTGTGACGGTGAGTTTTTGTTATTGTGACGGTGAGTTTTTGTTATTGTGACGGTGAGTTTTTGTTTTGTTATTGTGACAGTGAGTTTTTGTTATTGTGACGGTGAGTTTTTGTTTTGTTATTGTGACGGTGAGTTTTTGTTATTGTGACGGTGAGTTTTTGTTTTGTTATTGTGACATTGAGTTTTTGTTTTGTTATTGTGACAGTGAGTTTTTGTTATTGTGACGGTGAGTTTTGTTATTGTGACGGTGAGTTTTTGTTATTGTGACGGTGAGTTTTTGTTGTTATTGTGACGGTGAGTTTTTGTTATTGTGACGGTGAGTTTTTGTTTTGTTATTGTGACAGTGAGTTTTTGTTATTGTGACAGTGAGTTTTTGTTATGTTATTGTGACAGTGAGTTTTTGTTATTGTGACGGTGAGTTTTGTTTTGTTATTGTGACAGTGAGTTTTTTGTTTTGTTATTGTGACAGTGAGTTTTTGTTTTGTTATTGTGACGGTGAGTTTTTGTTTTGTTATTGTGACGGTGAGTTTTTGTTTTGTTATTGTGACGGTGAGTTTTTGTTATTGTGACGGTGAGTTTTTGTTTTGTTATTGTGACGGTGAGTTTTTGTTATTGTGACGGTGAGTTTTTGTTTTGTTATTGTGACGGTGAGTTTTTGTTATTGTGACGGTGAGTTTTTGTTTTGTTATTGTGACAGTGAGTTTTTGTTATTGTGACGGTGAGTTTTTGTTATTGTGACGGTGAGTTTTTGTTATTGTGACGGTGAGTTTTTGTTTTGTTATTGTGACGGTGAGTTTTTGTTATTGTGACGGTGAGTTTTTGTTTTGTTATTGTGACAGTGAGTTTTTGTTATTGTGACAGTGAGTTTTTGTTATGTTATTGTGACAGTGAGTTTTTGTTATTGTGACAGTGAGTTTTTGTTTTGTTATTGTGACAGTGAGTTTTTGTTATTGTGACAGTGAGTTTTTGTTATTGTGACAGTGAGTTTTTGTTATTGTGACAGTGAGTTTTTGTTTTGTTATTGTGACGGTGAGTTTTTGTTATTGTGACAGTGAGTTTTTGTTTTGTTATTGTGACGGTGAGTTTTTTTTTGTTATTGTGACAGTGAGTTTTTGTTTTGTTATTGTGACAGTGAGTTTTTGTTATTGTGACAGTGAGTTTTTGTTATTGTGACAGTGAGTTTTTGTTATTGTGACAGTGAGTTTTTGTTATTGTGACAGTGAGTTTTTGTTTTGTTATTGTGACGGTGAGTTTTTGTTATTGTGACAGTGAGTTTTGTTTTGTTATTGTGACAGTGAGTTTTTGTTTTGTTATTGTGACAGTGAGTTTTTGTTTTGTTATTGTGACAGTGAGTTTTTGTTATTGTGACAGTGAGTTTTTGTTATTGTGACAGTGAGTTTTTGTTTTGTTATTGTGACGGTGAGTTTTTGTTATTGTGACAGTGAGTTTTTGTTTTGTTATTGTGACAGTGAGTTTTTGTTTTGTTATTGTGACAGTGAGTTTTTGTTTTGTTATTGTGACAGTGAGTTTTTGTTATTGTGACAGTGAGTTTTTGTTATTGTGACAGTGAGTTTTTGTTTTGTTATTGTGACGGTGAGTTTTTGTTATTGTGACGGTGAGTTTTTGTTTTGTTATTGTGACAGTGAGTTTTTGTTTTGTCATTGTGACGGTGAATTTTTGTTTTGTTATTATGACAGTGAGTTTTTGTTATTGTGACAGTGAGTTTTTGTTATTGTGACAGTGAGTTTTTGTTTTGTTATTGTGACGGTGAGTTTTTGTTATTGTGACAGTGAGTTTTTGTTTTGTTATTGTGACAGTGAGTTTTTGTTTTGTCATTGTGACGGTGAATTTTTGTTTTGTTATTATGACAGTGAGTTTTTGTTTTGTTATTGTGACGGTGAGTTTTTGTTATTTTGACGGTTAGTTTGTCTTCAGGATCGCAGACAACAGCAGCATCACAGCTGTCCAAAAATCAATACTAAGTCAGCTTTAAGGACGTCTACCATGGCGACCTGTCAATCAGGATAGAGGCGACTTGTATCCGCGGCTCTGTGTACATTTGTTTTTATGAAATGGCTGTCAGCAGGAGAGAGAGCACGTCAGGTTTGAGTCTGTTAGTATGTTTTGTTTTAAAAGTAAACTGTTTTGTTAACTATCACCTTTTTATAATTATAAATGTTTATATATATTTTAATAATTTTTTTATAATTTTAACTGTGATTACATTTTAGTTTCTTTATATCCAGGATATATTTAATAAACAATTAAACATGTTAACAGTATAACATAACTCTTTGGTTTTGTTGTAACACTGATAAATAACTTTTAGAGGGAGGGCCAGTAAGTCTCAAACCCACTGGCCCGGTATGCAAAAAAGTTTAAACGTTGAGCCCTGCTTGTCTTGGAAAATTATCTTTTAAATTTAAAAACATGACATGTAATTTAGGGCAGAAAACAAACTGGATCAAAAAATAAGATCCCATGTTGGTATCAATAGACTATTTTTGCATTTGTATCTTTGCATTTTGTAAAGATCCTAACCCTTCAATCTCAACGTTGTCAACAGTTCGATCACTACAGAAACCTGTAGATGAATCCGACTGCTTATATTTCACCCAGCAAATGTCTCAACATGATCCCGATTGACATTTAGATGAAACTAAGTTTTTATTCGCAGCACAACCAGTTCCCTTCAGTCACAGCTCGGGTCAAAGTTCAACAAATACAGCAATAAAACATTCACAATAATGGAGGCAAAGTCACTACTTTAGTTTCATTTTCCTTCACTCTCTCTAATTTTCTTCTTCTATCCTTACGTTAATGAAGTAGAGTCATTCAGTGTTTGTATTAGCGCACATTTCTTCACCACACACGCAATCTGTTTGTATCTAAATGCGTCTTTACATTGACTCAGTGCAGTCGTGCCGCCTCTAGGATCTGCATAATCAGAGTTGCCAATAAAATAACTATGCGGCGGTATCAAATGCGCACCTCTGTCGATGTGGGCGGGGTTAGCAGGAGCTGGCTGTGTGGAGTCAGCCGTGATGGGCTCATTCTGATCTCCACTGCTTCTACCTGGGAGAGAAGCAACTCATTAGCAGCAGGATCGCAGACAACAGCAGCATCACAGCTGTCCGAAAATCAATACTAAGTCAGCTTTAAGGACGTTTATACGATTACATAAGTGACAGGTATTGATGATGTAACTTACTGTCATCTGTTTTCTTCTTTGCTGGTGGATTGGAGGATGAAGGTTCCGCCTTCCTCTTCCTCTCCCCCTCTCCTCCTCAGTTCCTTCTTTCTCCTCTAATGTCACCTTCTCCTCCATTTCCTCCTCCTCCCCCTCCCCCTCCTTCTTCTCTTCTTCCTCCTCACCCCGTCTCCCTTCACCGTCATCCTCCTCCTCCTCCTCCTCGCTCTCCCCTTCCTCCCATCCCTCGCTTCCCACCGCGCTCTTCTCAGATCTGGACTTCTGTGTCAGACAAAACAAAAACAAAACACAGACTCAATCAGCGGAGTGTTGAAGCCAATCAGATGAGGACCAATGGGAGGGTAGTATTTCTTACTTCTTTAAAAGGCTTGACCTTTGTCGGCTTCACAGTCCGAACCACGCCGTCATAGAAACGCACCGTGTAGGAGTCTGACACAAACACACAAACACACCAGGTTTAGCAGTTGGTAGTAATGGCCGATTCAGACTTTTTTAGAGAGCAGGACGAAGGAAAAGTTATGTATGCCTGCAGAGTACAATCTAACATACACGTTAACCTCGGCCAGTGACGTGTTGCTTTACATGGAAACTTTATAAATGAATGAAAAGTAAAGAGGGCGGGTTCCAGTTTGTCAGACGTCATTCAGCTGCATTATTCTCTACACCAGTGTTTCCCATTAATAAACGAAACATCGGTGGCCACAGTTTTTAAAGTGAACTGAAAGTATATTAATTAACATTAAAGACATCTAATGTTGTGTTTTGCGCCGCTGCTGTAAAGTTGTGCGCTCACACACTTTGGCATCCGACTCGATCCAACCACTTTTCTTTTGAGGTTATTACTAGAGCCCGACCGATTTATCGTTTCACAGATATTATCGGCCGATATAAGCTACTTGCAGATATTTCTGCATCGGCGTTTATGACAGCCGATATATGCCTATTAAAAAAGAGAAACAGAGAGTCGGATCCTTCCCTCGGGTCATGAGTGCTGCAGCTCCTCTGTTAACACCACTGCAGCAGCACCACAGAACAAAACATCAGCTGACCGCGGTCTACCAGAGCTACGCTGAGTTACTCTTGGTCGCTCTCACACTCCCGGTGAGTTGGTCTTTTGTCAGGAAGTATAAAACAAGTTACATGCATCCATTAAAGTAAAATAAAACGTTAGGGAAATTACTTAAATTATTCTACACAGTGTGTTTATGATCAAATTGTTTACTAGGGCACAAAGGTGTTAACAAGAATGCAAAGTTCTTCTTCGAGCTAGCCTCTTTATTTTGCTTTGAAAGTGCACCAAATGAATGCACGCCGTTTCTCTCTTTTCTTTACTCAGATCATCGGTGCACATGTCGTCAAATATATGTGCTACGGCCGCTGTGAAAAACGGCCTGCCGAACTGCTGGTCAGTGATGAAATGAAGCAAAACAATAGCCCAGGGTTCACGTGTCAGATCTGGTTTTGGCAAAACTCTACTTAAAAATGTTTTTGGGTAATAGATAATTGCCAAAACAATTTTTTCTGTGGACGGACTAATCAATAAATGGACTAAATAATTCAGCGACAGAAGGTCAGGTGTGAAAGGTGAAATCGAGCCTCACCGTCCCTGTTGACTCTGAGGATTTTGGCCGGGTAGAAACGACAATCTGTCCAACAGGCCAGAACCTTCGTACCTGAAACAAACATCTGAGACAAAGAGAAGGAAAGAAAAGTGTAAAGTCCAACAAAGCAAACAGAGAAGAAGAGAAACGACGACTGACACTGCGACAACATACACATTCTCACACATCTATTATTTAAACTTTAAGTGTAATTATCGGGACTAAAAGTGTTTAAAGTACCGGCTGGGAGCACGGCGGGTTCAGGCCCTGCCTCCTCAGGCTGACTCGCTCCAGCGGCCGCAGGTACGGCGAGGTCCAGTGAAACCACTCATCATGCCGACGGCTCCACTGGCGGTAGTGGACCAGGACCTGCTCTGTGTCGTAGTCGATTTTCTCGATCGTGGCTTGGTACCTGACAGGATAACAACACGATGCAGGATGAGATTTTAAAAGTTTTCAAAACTGATCGTGAAAATCTAAAAGATTAAATTTAAAACACTAAATTCCATAAATTCAATTAAATGTCATTTAAAGGGTAACTTCTGTATCTTTCAACCTACTTTCCCATGTTTTTGTGTCCATGCGACTAACTGGGACAACAACATATTTTGAAATTGAGTGAGTGCGACAGGCTCAGATTATTACAGGTGTCTGACAACATTATTGAAAGGATCCCTACAGAGAGAGACATTTTTTAAAGAGTCAGATCTATTTTCACTCCCTATATCGCTCTCGTTAAAGCAACCTTGATAAAAACTATAATTTTACCTCTCAGACCTACTGCTGCCTCCATCGATAAGTTTGTTTGTGTTAATGTGTCACTTTGTTTTGTTTTTTATAACCCTTTAAAAACAGCTAAGTCACACAACAACACAAACAAACAAATTGTCCTGTCCAAGGCAGCGGTAGACCAGCAACTCCTGTGTTCTGAAAGGTTAAATTAATGTTTTTGTCAATGGAGTCTGGTGGCTTTGATGAGAGCAATATAGCAAAAAGGATCTTACTCTCTCTCCATAATGTCATAAGTTACCCTTTAAGCCAGAAACATAATTTTAAATAGCGCCATACTTTTGGAAGTGCGAATGTCTGAATAATCCATCTTATTTTTTGTTATTTTATGTGTGTGTGTGTGGTCCAGACCAGTTCTTGTGGCGGTCTCGGGCTTCTAGCTGAGCTCCGACCTCAAAGGTGATTCCTGACCGGTCAGGAGGTGTCTTCATCTGGCAGAAACAGAGACAAAATAATATTTATATAAATTTACCGTAAGTAATGAATTATTTGCATATTTTTAATTTGTCAGTAAAACCTCCAGGTAACTTTCTCACAAACATTTAACACACTGTAAAGTTTACGCTACAGTGCTAATACTTGTTTGTTTAAGCCATCAACAGGAATCTGTCCAACAACGTCAGCAAAACACAGAACAATGTAAGACTAAAAGTGCTGCAATGCAAGAATGCTGTCCTCTCTGCTGTGTATCTGTGAGACATTTCACCTCTTTGTTTGTTCTAATCAATCCTGCACAGCCTGACTACAGCCGCTAACGACGCATCAGCTCATTGTTGTATTTCTCCAACGACTACAGAGCTCCCGATGATGCAAACTGTGGCTGAACCCAAACGTCTGAAACTCCCTGTAACTTGCAGGCTCGCCGTCACGCTGACAAATTCTCGTGAACATGCTGATCAATTCTGCCCGTGTCAACGTCTGCCCAAATCCATAATCGAGGTCCAGAAGGGGCCAAAAGGGGCACTTTCGCTAGACTTCCAGAGAGCCCGCCTGGAAATTAAGCAGTAAAATGCATTTGAATTATGCCTTTATTTAAGCACATTTCTAATAAAAATAAAGGTTTTTATAATAGCAGGAGTGAACCATTATGAAATTGATTATAAAAAGGGCCCAGTTACATTTAATTTCATTAGAAATCAGCTAAATTAATTTTCAATGTTCAAGTTCATGCTGCACATTTTCTGTTTATTTCATCAGTATTATGGTAATGCTCGATTTCACCTTTTACACCTGATGTTGTGTTGTTCTACATTCAGTCAGTCCACAAAAAACTGTTTTGGCAAATCTATTATCTTTCAAGGCATTTATCAAGCTCTTTCTTCTGCTTTATACTGAATATTTGGACTGTTGTTCGGACTAAACCTTAGACTCTGGGAAACAGTGATGGGTAGTTTTCATCATTTTATAGATAAAACCTTTAAATAGTTCATTAAAAAAATCAAAATTAAGTGAAAATTAGCTTTACTGTACATTGGCATTCTTACAAATTCCTAAAAACGCTGGCGGACTGCTGTTCTTGCAATTAATCAGATGGCCAGTTAATCTGGCTGATATCTCACAACTTGGGACAAACTGTACACCTCTCTTCCTTAAACACCCACCACACTCTGAAATCACAACCCGATGCATGTTTCTATTCCATTTATTAATAAAACAGCATGTTACTGGCTGAGATACTAGATTGTATTGCAGTTATAATCAGATTACACACTGGGGTTTTAATTTTTTTTTTTCCATTCTGGCACTTATCATGCATTTTTAGACTTCATGTGTACGCAAATGGAAAATTAACCTATTAAATATTAAAGTTATAATTAAATAAAAATAAGAATTGATTAACTATTTATTTTTAAATAGTGGCAGCCATTGACTTCCATAGAGTCAGCTTTAAAATAGATTACTGTTATAATTAAATTCAACTGGAGTTTTATTGGCGTGGGAAACAAACGTTTACATTGCCAATGCAAGTGTCAAATAAAAACACGTCAGTAAACAATAGCTGATTTCATCAGATTTATATTGATTATTTCCTAAAAAGCGCGTGACCGGTAACAGCTGTTACATTATGAGGTCGGGAGTGCGCGCATCTGCATCCATCTTCGTCCCCCTGTTGAAAAGTTTCCAAACACATAATGGAAATAAATAATAATAAGCGCTTAAAGTGGAGATGTTTTAATTTTAAAACAGGATTAAGACGATATTAGAGCTGTTTTAGTAACTTAACGTCTGCTGTTACGTTACGTGGTTACAACACTCGAACAGGACGTCGTTAATTTCTCCTTTTTTCAAACTTTCCTCAAACTGTAGTCTGAATTATGAGGGATTTTTACATTAATCCCCCCAAAAAACTCACAACACCGTGAGAGTGAATCAATGAAAGAAACTGACATTTCTGTTTCTGGTCCGTTAGCTGTGGGACAAGCGGATTGGCTTACAAGACTCCGATTACGCTTATTCTGAATTGCCATTGGCCGCCCGAGCTGTCAGTCAAAAACAGCAGTCCCGCCTCTCAAACATTTGACAGTGGCTAAAATGCTAACGCGATCAGTTAGCCTCAAAGAGCACCAAAACGCGATGACACAGGACGAAACGCAAACTGCTTTTAATATTATACGTTCGTAAACTCCGTCGGCAGTTAAAGAGTGACGGCCAAACGTTAGGAGTCGTTCTTTAGGCTCGTCCAGTTAAACAGTTCTTCTCTCCATTGACTGTGACTTCATGAGCTAACGCGGCTAACTGTTAGCCCGCCGCTGCTCAGGCTGGAAAGTCACAGTGACAGCTGCAAGCAGAGGGAAGTTTCATGCCGACAAACGAGCTGTCACGCAAGCGGGAACCTTTATAAACCTGCCTCCGCTGTTTAAATGTCATTATGAGCGTTAAATGTGTAAATAAGTATCACAAAAGCTTGTTTACCTCTCGCGCTACTTCTGCGCCGCACTCTTCATACTGGAATGGCTGCAGAGCGCATGCGCGAGAGGAGACGTTCAAGGTGGTTTGTTAATCTGTGTTTTGCGTTTCTACAGAGACGATCAATAAGATGTATATCTTATCTTACTTATAAATTTATTATTTATTTTTATATCTTAGAAACCTTATTCACTGGAGCTTCCATCCCTTCCTTTTTAAGAAAACAATGATGCTGCAGAAACTGTCAAACATGCCCTATGCTTAATATTATTTGATTATCTGTTAAGGCATCACACAAGTCAAATATGCTTTTAAAGGGACCTATTATGCTTTTTCTGGTATTTCTAGTTTCAAATAATGAGGTAAAAGTATTTTTAAACAGTTTTTTACTATTAAGGGCTCGGTATGATGTCATTCCGAGCCAGATTTCCATATATGGTCATTTGCTCCAGGCAGAGCATGCTGGCCACGCCCACAAAGAGCCTTAAAGAGACAGGAAATCTACAGCTTGTTTCAGCCAGATGCTGAAATGAGGGCCTGCATGAAGAGCCAGTATAAAAGAGAAAATTATTTTTTTGAACTTTGAATCATGCAAAGCTGCCGTACATACAGGAGTCACAGAACTATAATATAGGTCTCATTAAATGTCAACTTTACTCAAATCACAATGAAACTTTACAAGCTAAAAGTAAACAGAAAAAAAAGAAGCTTTTTTTGAAGACAAGTTTTTATGTTTTTATTTTTTAATATGCAAATATGCACTGATTTGCATATCACCCAAATCCATTTTCCAGCACAGTGATAAGACTCAGATGGATTTATTTGGTTTTATTGTGATATACCAAATGGCCAGACATTAACAGAATGGTTTATCTAAATATATATTTTTTCATGGATTTATTCAAAATATATATGTGTGATGGACCCTTTCCCCTCACATATTTACAGATAAAATGCCACATAAAATGAGAATGATACAAGATCTTTTAAAAACCCTCAGTAAATGTCTCGCTATAAGACCTAAGAGTGTAAAGTTGTGATGATTTAACAGCCTTGAAGGGTGAGGAAAATGACTTGGCGTACAGGAAACTTGTCATTTTGAGAAAATGGCTGTTAAAAATAAGTCAACACAACAGAAACACTTAGTTGACCGTCACATCTCTTATAGATATCTGATATAAGGACTAGCTAACATTGAGCTCTAGAAAACAAAACTGATAACGAATAATAAATGATTTTTAAAAAGACCTGTTCATGTAAATCGCTGATAAAGATGGAATTTACACGATCTGCAGTTGACGGTATAAAATAGACAAATATTGATGTTTATATACATTATTCAAGATTGTTTTTACATTTTATGAAAGTATGGTAACAATCGTTGCAAAATAACTAGAAATCTGTCAAATCATTATTTTGAACTGCGATGTCTCGCCTTCAATAACAACTTTATAAAAGTTTTATAATTTGTAATTGAAGGATTTATTTATGGTTAATAAAACTTTATATAGGTCAATTATAAGCAGGAATAAAATAAACTTATTACTTACAAATGCAGATGTGATGATTAACACCCTTTTTTAAACTTCTGGTAATATTGTAAAATACTGCATATCCACACTGCTTTATATTTATATTTTATATTTATATTTTTAAGTTTGTATATTTTTGTTATATTTTCTACTTACTTTCTGTTAGCATTTCTATTCCTTATACCTTGACATGAAAGTGAGCAATTTGTAACAAAGACTTTTGGAAAGACAGACACATGTTTATCTAGATCCCCGTTAGCGGCTCCAGACATGAGGCTGCTCCTGGGGTACAGATAATAGCGATAATAACTTATTAGAACCAGTAATAGAATCACCTTAATGTATTTTGTAGCTCGACTGTTTTGCAGGTTAATTTCACTTTTGTTGGAGAATCATCTAACACGGATGTACTGTGACAGAGACAACAGAGACAACACACACCTGGGCCCCCCTCACCGACTCTGTGAGGAAGAAGATCCACTATAGGAGGAAAGAAAAGACACACAAGATATTTAAAAAAGAGGGCAGGTGTCAGGCTCAGCTGAGCAGGTGAGGGGCCAGTCGAGGGTCTCGTTTCAGCCTCTGATCCAGAACTCGGTACTTCTGAGGAGCTGCTTCCTTGTGCCTGGAAAACACACACACATATACATATATAATCACACAACATTTGGACAAAGAATTAGCTGTCAGGCCAAAGCAGATAGTTTATTTTCTGTAGTCACAGTAGTCCAAGCAATGCTTCTGCTTGGTTAAATGACTTTAAACTGCTAAAAATAAATGAATGGATGATCTCTGTATGTGTAAGTACATGCTTAGCCGCTTCTTGGCGACGAGTATCCGTAGTGTTTTGTCGGAGCAGTAGTTCTGGTACTCTTCCTCCTGCTTCTTGGTCATGCTGAGCTGGTTCTTCTGGAACCACTGCTGTTTCCTCTGCAGCTCCTGTGTCTCCTGAACACAGATCACACAGCTGGAGCTGGAGCGTCTCTAAAACCTGTCGTTCATCCCAAACGCCTCCTTTTTACATTTCCAGATGTGGGTGTATAAACTCTAAACATATATAACACGTCTCCTTAAATAAAACCAACATTTTATATGAGACAACATGTATGGCTGCAACTAACGATAATTTAACTGTTGATTAATCTGTGGATTTTTTTCTCCCTTCCTTCCACAATTCAGCGCCACTTCATCATTTGAGTCACTCTTGAGTCCAGGGGTTACATGAATCAATAAAAGATGGTCAATACATCAATATGTCTGTTACAGTTTCCCAAAGCCCAATGTGACTTTAAAGAAACTGGAAGAATTTAGACATTTTCTGCTTAATAAAATGACTCAAACCGATTGATCGATTATCAAAACAGTTGGCGATTCATTTAATAACTGACAACTAATCAGCTAATGTTTGCAGCTCTAACCGTGTGACGTGAATAGACATGTCCAGTTCTTCTTCTAGGCTTCCACGGCGTTTTACAATCAGGCTGTTTCAGATGATTTAAACAGACAGCAGAATGACCAACTATTCTGTCTCACATCTATAAATATATAATTTCTTTGCTGTTTGGTAGGCGTGTGACGTTTATGGTTTTGGTTTCTACTTAGCTGTTTGTTGAGTTAAACCTTATTTATATTTATTTCTGCCCTGCAGTGGCCTCAACTATGAAGGGAGTTCAACCTACTCAGAGTAAACTCAGGGTTGACAAACTCTGACCGCCTACACTGGAGTTAAACGGCACTACCAAGGTGGATCAGATGTTGGTTAGTTGAGTTGGTGTTAACCCTGTGTAAAAACCGTGCAGGCACAACGGCGCATGCTCCCCAGAAGAATGCACGTTGATATTGTCAGGATATGAGGAGTTTAAAGGCACGTTAACGGCTAAATCTAATATCGTGGCGGCTGACAAAGCCAGGGAGGCTTGTAGGCATCACATGGAGTAAATTTGTAATTATCTTCACAGTGTTCTTATTGTAGGCTGATTCTTTATAATGTATTTTATATGTAATATCATTCAGATGTAAAGGTACAACAGCACATAATGCCCATTGTAATAAAGAAATTGGAGCCAGAGGAGAGGGAAAAAGAATTTCCAAGATTACTGTGGTAGATGCGATTTCTGTTGCGAGAAACTAATATCACAAATCTACAAGTTAAAAACTTGAATATATTCTCTGACATCGTATTTATACATTTATGAGAGAAACTTTGTTGTTTTAAAGGAAACTCGCTTCACTTTGCAAAGCTGCAAAATCACACGCCGAGTGTTATGCATGCAGTGGGAAATTATATTTGACTTCACAATCGGATTTAGCAGTGAGGAAATATGTGACTTTACCCCACATTCATTTTATTATCACGCCCCACGTTCAGACTGCAGGCCAATGTGACCCAAATCTCATTTTTTTGCCCATATGTGCCTCAGATCTGATCTTTTTATTAGTGTGAACAGGCCCAGTCACATGGAATCTGATGTTTTCCAGTTCGGAATTGGGCCATTTCCATTTGTGGTCCAAATCCAATGCAGATCGGATCTTTTTAAGTGTCTGCATCTGGGCCTAAAAACTGATTCCCGTGTCTGAACGTAACATTTTGTCCTGCTCTATACAGATGCAGAAGTAAACTGGTGGTTCCCGTGTTTGTTGTGATCATGCGGCGACTCATCTGTCTTACTGATCACGACCCTTGAAAGGTACTTGGATTCGGTATCACCGTCAGAGCAGAGCACAAATGTAATTCCAGAGATTAGAGGAAACAGTGGCCACATGTTACATCACTACAGTGGGAAAGGGCTTTTACATACATGAGTGAATCTGCGCTGTACCTTTTCGTAGCGTTCCTGAATGAGGTTGGCGTGCTCCACCAGTCTCTGTTTAAACTCGGCCAAACAGTCCTGGTGGAGCTGCTTGGCGTCCTCGGCGCTCAGAGTCTCTGCGTTGTTCAGACGGATGAGGAGGGGAGCCAGGATGTCCTTCTCCTTCTCCTGCAGCCACCTCTGCTCCTCCGCAGCCAGACGCTCCTGCAGCGGCAGAGAAACGGCCGACACAAGTGTTTGCCTTCCTAAACGTGGCTTAGCCTGCTTTATTGTATTGAACTCTATTTTCTATTTTTGCCAGACAAAATTGTTATTTGGTTGTTTAAACTGAATTACATTCCTCAAGTAGAATTTGTGGCAAATTGAAATTAATTTTGTGTATAGGAATTGACACAACCAAGTTACTGTACATGTAAAGTCTCTCTGTTCCTGTATCTTAGGACACACACAACAGGGCTTCAGTAGCTTGGGATGCCCAAAAAAGGGCAAAACAGAGTACGGGGCTCTGTCTGCTCTGTCTGAGTGATATGCTTAGTATTGTGAAGACCAGTTGTATGCCACTGGTACATGGTTTTGTTTATGCATTTGACTGCATTTATTCTATTTGTGGTTATTTCTTTTAAGTAGACTTAAATAAATTGTGTAAGTGCGTATGTCTCACCATTTCCTGTCTTTGGCTTCGGGCTCTGGCAGCTCCTGTTGTCGTCCACGGGGAGAAGTGAAGCTGAATGTCT